GTACTGGTTTTTCATTAATTTTGTAGCTTTATACAAATAATTCATGCACTTTCATACATGTGTTCGAAAGGCTATTCCTTTAGCTACTTTCTCGTTACATTTTCATTAACATATCTGTCGTAATGTGCAAGATATTAAACATTATTTGGGTAAGTACTACACTCGTCGTATTCAGGCGTCACGTATTTTCGTTATTTGCATCAATAAGCATGATTAATTTTGTACTTTCAAGCATGTAGAATATAGTACAGACTTTTTGCTACATTCTACAATAATTTTCGTAACCATAAGTGATGCGGTTTATTAGATATTAGCAATTGTTTATAACAGTCCGGTATACTCGAGTACGATGAATAGGAGACGTTCCCATATAATGTTTAATAACTCCTAAACAAAACCGAATATGTTAATAAAAATGATATGAGAATATAACCAAAGGAGTTACCTTTCAGATGCATACAGTTAGTTGTACGAGAATCTAGTAGAAAGCTGTGAAATTATTGTAAAACCGTAAAGATACTTGACGGTGTGCGGTATCGTCCCCGACATCACGTATTAAAATCGTTAATAACTAATTATTGAAAGGATGTAGTGCACTAAAAACTATATGTGAAAGTTACTGAAGGTCCACTCTTTATTCTTCAATTCTAAAAGTTCACAAAATCTTCGTAAATAATGAGATATTAATGATTTTTCACCGGCAGCTCGTGGGAGTTGGAGCTTAGCTGCCCGTGGACCAATAGGAAGCGTTCTCTCTCTGTCCTTCTCGCACACTATTGCGTTCCTTGTCTAATACCTCTGTTTACATTCTGTTTTCCTATTGAAAAGGCGTAGTTCGCGTCATTAAAAACAAGATGGCGTTAATTTCGATTTGAAAATTTTTTTTCTGTCCTTGTCTAACACTATATCTTTCCTTGTCTAACTCGTTTCTTTAATGCTATCCTTGTTTCTTTCTAACGGTTTCCTTCTTTTACTCATTACGAAATTCAGACCAGATTGTAGGTATGATAAAAGCGTTAATTTTAACGCAGTTTAGGAATCAATCATGCATTTTCTTCTTATATGTACAATTTTAACATAAGAGCAACTTTAATTTGCTTTTCCAATTATAATAAACGTGTCTACTTACGTGCTCTTAAATATTTGCTTCCCGCGTCGACGCGGGTAAAAGAGGACAAGACGACTAAAATAATCTTTAGTTTCTTGTTCTTTTATCAACGTGCTACATTATCGGCAGCTGATTGAAAATCATTTGTCTAAACCATTTACCTACAACGTAATTTCCCCTCCAGCGATGGCTGTGTAAAACCGAAGACTCAGGCGATGACGTCACAAGCCTTAAGTTTGCTTCACTGGACAATATTACATAACCAATTTGATTTCTTCGAAGGAGTAGGAAAGGAAAAAGGTTAAAAAGATTTGACGTAAATCGACGCAGAGGGATGTAAAATGGAACTTTACGCATTAAATGTCTGTTCCTCTTTATTAACAAGCTGAGTTAGCATACCTTGTGAAAGTTTGACACTTCGATTAGACATTCGATTGTTTTATTCATTTTTTTTTTTTTTGTTGTTTTCGCGTTAACCATAATGGACGACGATTAATTTCATCGAACTCGTCCACGGATACTTATACGAGGATATGATACATAAAGTCTAAGGTTCACGGATCTCATGTACAAATAGTTCGCTCGTTCGCAATAGCTAATGGCCATGTGACGAGTTCCTATATCACACGCATCACGCACACTCGAAAAACCGTTGCGCTAATTTGTTTTTTTTTCTTTTCGTCCAAATTTCTTTCTAACTACAATCACGTTCTCTTTTTGACTACATGACAAAAATTTACTAGAAACCATACGATCGGTGCTCTCGTAAGTACTTACTTAAATTGATGCACACGATCTTCGTAAAATTTGTCACGATCGTCGTGTCTGTACAGACGAAGCCACATATTTACGCACATGTAATAAATCATCTCGTGAGAGGGCATACTCTGCATATTCGACGTCTAAATTGTCAATCGGTGTTCAGGGATTTTATATTTTTAACATTCGTTTAATTCGTTCAATGTACATTGCACCTTAATAGCAAGGTGCATCGTTCAAAAACGTACACGTAGAAAATTTAAAAAGCATTGGAAAAATCTTTAATATACAGTAAATGTACGATGATGTTAATGTATCCATTAGCGAAAGAGGAACTTTAAAAATTGAAATTTGTAATCTAGCAATTTTCCGTAAAAAAGTTTCAACAAAACATCGCTACACTTGAAAGCTGATATGGCAGTTTATTGATTAACATTAAATTAAGATATTGATATATGTAAGTGTAAAATACGATCGAGTTCGATAAACTTTTATAGGTTACCTTCGTACCGCTACCGCATTACAACCTTGTGTCTATCGACGTTATTGCGAAGGATGCAGTCTGTTTTAAAATTTTCAGTAGAAATATATTTCTCGTATGAAAAAACGAACTTTCTTCTCTCTTCTACAGAGAAAATACACGAAGTATGCCCTCGCTTTATTTATTTCTTTTGGAAAATTCTCAAGTTACGAACAATCGAAAAAACGTACGATCGTAGACGCCCGTGCTAGCGATATCTTGTTACGATTAAGGCAATAGCCTTTGACTTAATAGTTTTTTGTGAACCGTAAACTCTGTTTGGCAGAAATCAACGTAAGCGTAGTTTAATTAACCTCAGTCTCACCATTTCGAGAACGATGCACAAGGATCGGACTTAAATTCGTTACTGGCATCTGATAGTTCTGCGTGATCGATAAATTATCGAGTAGATCGACCATCGTGAAGTTCATCCGATCCGATCGACATGAGTTTTTTTTTTTTGCCTCAAATACAATGTTTCACCTTTTGTTTCTCTATGCATTTCAAGAACAAACTATTTCAAAATTTATCAATCAATTTTTCTCTCGTGGAAATTTCAATCGGTGTTTCATGGAAACTTATGCCTGCATTTTAACGATCGGTGTTCAATAAAGAGGTTATCTAATCTCTTTTGTTCTGAAACGCAAGGATACGCGAAAGGTTAAACATTAAAATATCTATATAGAATATTCCGCGAATGAAAACAACGTAGTACTTAAAGCTATTCTTTGGCGTTAATTAATAATCGAGCCCATTGTATGTCGATAAATTGTTCACCCTCTAAATATGATGCATACATGTATGTACACCTTTAAAACGTACCGTTATATACTCTTTCTCAATCACACTTCTCGATCTTGGATCGAAACTGCGCGTCATGACGCAAATATAATCCTCGAATCATTCTATCAACATAATTAGTCAAACGAAATGTCGAAACGCACAATTGCCCCTTTGTTAATGCCGATACTTTAGGAATGTTGTTATACTACTGGCCATCTGTGTTAAGCATAAATCGCCATGTTTGTATTTAAGAGATTCGTCTGTTTGAAACATCGTTACGTTGATCTTTCTTATTCATTTTTTCTTTTTTTTTTTCTTAACTCGTACAGTAGCAATTTTATCAAAAAATTTCTATGAAAAAAGAAAACGGATATATAAAGACATTATTCGTTGGGAATATGATCAGTATACCTTGAATGATAGGAAAACTAGTGAAGATTAAATACAGCAAAGAAATGAATATAGTGAAATTTCTATAGTTCATGTTTTCGTCGAGTTCTTATAGCTGATTCTTCCAAAAATGTGAACAATATTGATCCAGTACAGTTGCTTCAATTGTTATGGAAATAAACTCAAGTTTTTAATTATATATTTATCAAATTAATAATTAATTCAGTTTCTGAAACAGTAATAATTTTCTTTCACAAAGATCTCTTCTTGTCAATGTCACAAAAAGTACAATAAAATTACAGCAAAATATAATAAATATAAAATACAATATAACATAGCAAAATAAAATACACATAAAATATTATAAAACATAACAAACTTAAAGCAAAGTATAACAATATAATAAAAAGTATTATACCATTTTCTCACATGAAAATCTTGTAAATCTTTAAAAAAGAAACATAGTAACTGCAGCAGCAACTGTACAGCAGATATTGAAACGATGTTTCCCGAGGATGGCAGTAAACGATTCTCGATACCTCGCTCTTCTGTTCGACTATACAATCCACGGTAACAGTGTGACTAATGATACGTACAATCTATACTATACAGTAGTTAGACGATTATACTCGTGTGTAATTCATCATTCCGTCTCTAAATTGACTTGTTTCCTAACACGCTCTGTTAATGGATGTTTTCTCATAATCGCTGTTGCAGAATCTTCTCAGGAATGGTTTGTGGTTGTAGCTTTCAAGTGATGCAGCTCTTTCATTTTTTTTTTTCGTTTTTTTTTACTATTTTTTCTTTTTTTTCCCTTTTCCAAAGACGAGACATTCTAACGTACCCAAGAACACGTCGATACTTTCACGTACAGTTGTTTCGCGTTTGATTTTTTGTTTTTTTTTTTCTGCTTTTTTTTTTGGTCGATCGGTGAAGATTGCGAATAAAACGCAACGGCAGTATTCGATGCAACGTGGAGCAGTCGATCAGACGATTTATGGAAAATTGAATACAGCACACTGAGAAACATATGTATACAGAAGAAACTGTGTTACATGTAGTTGAATTGGTAGAACGTTTCGTTGACAGAAATTTCATGGTTTGGTGTATCTTATATGTTAGATATGCTAACGTTAAATTTGTCTCAGGTAAAATGGACAATGGTTAGGATGGTTGCGAACGCTTTTCTCAGTGTACCAGTGTGAGCAAAGATTTTCTTTTTTTCTTTCTTTTTACAAAGAACATCCCTAGTTAGTCTGATTTCGACACGAATCACGTTTTTGTCGCCAGATGAACGTGTGCCACTCGCGGTCGAAAACTACAGTTCTCCATTGACATTCTGCAAGACGCTTTAGGCAGTCAACAGTTCTTCAGAGGACTCTTTTACGACTCCGTCTATATCGTTCCGCGAAGATTTCCGCTGGAATTGCTGAATCTCAATCATACGTGTATAGTGAACTCTTGCCTCTCTTGTTCCTTCCTTTGTTGGTACCTGGAATGAAGTTGTATAACGAGATGTTTAACACTGGTTCAGATTTGGCCGCTACTTCTAACAGGCATATCCTTCTTCCTTTGAAACAGGAATTCTAATTTTATAGCTAAAGCAATCTTGTGTAGTTTTTGCAGGACAATTTTTCATGGACAGTGCTATCAGGGATGGCTAGAACTTCTCTAAGTTATAATTTGATTTGGCTTCTAGGAACCTAGGAAGACTTCTGCCAAGTTTCACTTTCTCTAGTAGAACTATCTTGTATATTAGTCTAGTGTATACAAGCTTTGTGAAGTAGACTTATTGTTAGCTTGATGAAGTTCATGTTTTGGAAGTTAATATTTGAAGAAAACCAAGTGATCTTCAAGTTAAACTTCAGAGCTTAAGAATATTTTCTAGTGTGTTGATAGATACATACTATTGCTAAGACAGGACAAGTTTAAGGATCTCCCTTTACTTTCAAGCTAAACTACACTTATATTACACCCACTAGTTCAGTCTATTTTAAATTAAACTAAGCTAAGCTAAAGTTAGTCTTAGACTTAATGTGCTTAATTTAGACATATGTAAATATGTACGGGACTAAGAACTTTGTAAAACAATGCGTTTGTACATTTGTTAAAGCTAGTAATGGGCCAGTTCTGTTAATGAAAAGCAAGTTTAATCGAAGCAACGTCGACTCCAGAAGCCTTCCCAGGACCAACGTGAAAACAGAATGAATCTCAACGTGTCAGCTTACTACGGTCTACGGAGGTTCGTGTCGATACCTAGCGAGCATAGATTCGACGGCCTCGATCGGCAGTCTACCCAAGCTGCCGCCGTGGCGGGTCCCGGCCGACAGACCTTGCCAGTCGCGATCACGATCACGATCACGCTCGCCACGATCACGATCACGATCACGGTCGCACTCTACGTCGCTCAACTCGCGGCTGTCGCTAAACCCGCTTGGCGGCAACAACGTCATGTCCTCCACCGAACTACGCACAATGGATCAGAGACAGCTCTTAGGACAATGGAATATTATTAACGATAAATTGACAAAACATTCTTATCGTCACTGAAACTAATATCTGATTGAGCTGGGCGAATTAATCTGAATGTCTGTTGTGATTAGGGAGGAAGAGAAGGTGGGAGAAACAGGGAGAGACAGGAAAAGTGATTATATTCTTGCAGAGGCTGTAATATCCAGATTAATCTGAAGAAATGTTATATTTGGGATTTAAAGATAATTAAGAGATTTAAATGGGTTTAGTTTTCGGGTTGGCAGGATTAAAGTGATCATTTTTTTTTTTCTGTGGTTATATCCAGATTAATTTCAAGAAATTTTGTATTATTTATCATTCTACATAAATTTATGATAGTCGATGATGATGATGATATGATTATGACGATACATGATACAGAATCTTTAATTAACAGAAAAATGTAGTACCTCCAGTTTGTTGATTTTGAAGTATTGCTTTGTCAATGTAATGAGAGTCAGGTTTTATGAATCTGATAATCTGTGGCTGTTTCTGCGAAGAATTTTACATTTTTCCATTATTCATCTCGCATCGACATGAGACCGATAAGACCGTGATACGAATACTGAATTATAAATCAGGACTGAGTGCTATGTGGAAACAGACAAACCTTGGCTACCTGCGAGTAGACCGGCTCGGCTGTCGGCTTCGTCGTCTCGCTAGCGAGGGTGAACCTTCGTTGTTGGATTCTGTACTCGATTCCACCCCTCGTGAAAACACATCTGCAGAAAGAGTCCGCCAATTAAGCGGTCGGAAAACTGGATGAATTAATTAGGCTAACTTTCGAAACTTTGAGAGTCTTTTGTCTTCTTTAGTCTGCTTCTGTTACTATTGCTATAGTAACACTAATTGCGTTTACATTGTTACAGATTCAACATTAATCAACCATACGAAGTATACGTTTTCTCAGGGAATAATAAAAGAAATTATGTATGTCAGAAAAATTTGAAAATAAATAAAAGATTTGTAGAAAATATAAGAAAGTTTAATTTTCAATTTTTCATTTTCCATTCGATTTTACTATGTCGAAATAAATTTCAAAGAAGAATACGAACTTGTTACACTGAATGGCGCATGTAAAATCGGCATTAAAAGATCTCCGAGATCTTTTTTAAATAAAAGTTTTTAAGACAATTTTCGAACCCTGGATAAAATTGTATTTTGGTATTCTGTGCGTCACCCAGTATAAAACAGAAGGCAATATAAAGAGATTCACCTCTGCAAGGCTTCACTGGCACCCTGTAACTAGGTCCAGCGCATTCTCCGCAAGGGCTTCCGGATGTGTCGCTTCCGGAACCTTGACGACTCGAGCGCAGTTTGCTCTCCGCTTCCGCGATGCTTGGGAAGTATCGCTGCTTGTGCCACCTTGGTGTTTTAGACCTGCACGTGAAAGAACACCAGAAAGAGGAAGAGAAAAGGGTTTAGGAGCGGGACATCAAGCTTCTCGCAAGCAAGGAAGTCGAGCGAGGAACGTTGCATTCGTGGCATGCATCTGAAAATGTAGTAGATCAAGGTTGAAAGAAAACAGTTACCTCTCGAAGTCCACGCTGGACCTCTCGTAATCGATCGTATTGATGTCCTCATTCTCTAGATGACCGAACGTTTTAAATTGCATCGTGTAGTCGAGCGTCGCAGTGGTAACTGAACGATTCTCCCTTCCTGGTACGCTGAACGTGGCGTATGGACTTATTTCGTACATTTCTGTCGAAGAAAATGATTATTCTTAGCCAATTCGCTGAATAATAATGGGAAGCTTTGATACAACGATGCAAGGTTCTTCCACTTCTTGGATTAACTAAATGGCCACTTTATTCAGATTTATAAACATTTAAAATTCAAGCAAAAGAAATTGTATTATTTTATACATTAAATTTAGAATCTTTCAATTTTTAAGAATAGAAAAAAAAGTTTGATTATTTCATAAATTAACTGGAAATAGAGAAACAAACCTGATCCATGGTCATTGGACTTATGATTTTCCTGCTTCACCGGAGAGCTAGTATAAACTTGATGATTCCTCCTGTTGTCACGTTCAGCAGTGGACTTCAGCTGCATAGTGGACATACAGCTCGAAAGATGATGGTGTTGTTGATGCTGTTGCTGTTGCTGAACGAGCCCTAAGCCAGCCTGTTGATTCTGCTGCTGTCCAGGAAGTATTTCTCCTAAATAATTACCTCTGAAAAAATACAATTTATACCATAACGTTCAACAATCATTTTCTCAAACTTCTAACGTTAATACCAAGATAAATATACCTTCCACTGCGTTTCAACATCACGTAACCCAAAATGGCGGCCGAGATAATCAGAACAATAGCACAAACAAGAGGTACAACCACGTAGAGCACTTTGTGATTAGGTATAGTTTTTTTAACGTCGTCTTCCATGATCAGATCGTTTGGAGGACCAATGCTGACGCCACTGAGAGTGGTTGTGGCAAATTCCATTTTAGTTTGCGTGGAGCCAGCATCATTGTGCGCTGTCAGACGTAAACTGTACCATGAAGCAGTCTTTAAATCTCTTATGATTAGATTCTCTGTGGCACGACTCGCCACTAAAATCCATGGCTCAGTGCTGACGCGTCTACGGTACTCTACTGTGTAATACTGAATGGGACAACCGCCATTCGGCCAGGACAGAAGGTTTAGTTTTACGGAGGTGCCATTGGCAGTGATGATATCCCGTTCCTTTGGTAGTAAAGGAGCTGTGAAGGAAATATTAATGCATTTGAACGGAGAGTATATGAGGAACTGAGAATAGAATGAGAAAACATTTTGAGAAATTCAGCTTTAAAGTTTGCCATTGCAAAAAAAATTTATACTCGAAATATTGAGTTTGTCGTTTTTATTTTCAACGTCTCGTGTAGAAAGAAGACTATTATTTGAAGATTACCAGTTCCTTTTGTCGTGGCACTGATTGGAGGACTTGGATCGCCTGTGCCCACGCGATTGTGTGCTGTCAAATGCGCCAAGTAAGAGGAACCGCACTTTAAGCCTGATAAAATGAACTCAGTTTGTTCTGGAGATAGCGCGATTTCTTCCCAGTCACCTTGGTCCCTTTTGTAACTTAAAACGTAACCTAATGACGATGGAAAGAATTATTTTAAAGTTAGAAGCCTATCAATTATTTTCCATTTTTACCTTGAATGGTAGCACCGCCATTGTTGGGATGATTCCACCTAAGTCTTATGCTATTCGTTGTCGTATACTGCAATTCCAGCGTTGGTGCTCTTGGAGGCATTACCACCACCAACGTGTACGTGATAGAATCATCGCCAAACAGATTGCTGGCTGAACATGTGTAATTCCCCGCCACTGACTGTTCCAGTCCTACAGTTTTTATTTTTTTATTCATTAAAATATATTTATATTTCCCTTAACCATTCGACATTATTATTAAGCTAACCATGAATATTAAGATGGCCATCAGCAGTCAATTCGTAATGTCTACCAGTAGAAACCTGTCCATTTCTGTACGTCCATATTGGACGAGGCGTGGGATTCCCCACGACCAAACAAGATAACGTGATCGATGATTTAATTGCCCTTCTTAACAATTGCGAGAAAGAGGCCACTCTAGCTGGAGCTTTAAAAATAATTTTCATATCCTAATAAATTATCTGCGAATTAAATAATTTCTGAAAAAACATTTCAAGAATAATCGGACCTCTAGTATTTGTAGTTTGAGTTACTATGGTGGTTGGTTCTCCCTCGCCTAACCCTGTCGTTGCTGACACCCAGAACTCGTACAATTGTCTGAAATATAATTTTCTTTTTTAAATTACGTATTGTTTCTCAGATTCAGAAAATATTTTACAGAATAAAATTAATTACCTTTCTACCAAACCTCGTAGTTCCATGGTGAGAGTATCAGTTGGAGATGACGGAGGCTCGTGCATAGTGTGCGTGTTGTGGTTGCTGGAACCAGCTTCTCTGCTGTAAACCGTGTACTTGGAGACGTTCCCATTGGGTTGCAACGGTGGTAACCACGAAACTAATATACTCTCTGCTGTTAAGGCTAAAGCTTTAATGCCAGCTGGAGGACCAGGGACTGGACAAAGGATGATAAACATATTTCTCAACCTCTCGAATTTTTTTCGTATTACACTTAGTCCAAAAATGAAAATTTGACAAGGTTAATCGAATTCTTACCATCCTCCTCGGTTGTACAAAAAATTGGAGGGCTCAGAACACCATCACCGGCTCCCGTATAAGCCAGTACTCTAATCGAGTAATTCGTATACTTATACAGAGTGTGTAGATACGTTTCTACACTGGAAGTTTTCTTTACTTCGCCCACTGTCGATATGTCCACTGAAATAATTGTTAATACAAAATTTCAAAAATAAAACGTCGCTCTAAATCACTTTATTAATTCCTATTGATTTCTTTTATTTTCAAACTTAATATATTTTACATACTGTTATCAGTGGGCACAGGCCTGTAATACACTTTATAGCCCTGAATAATTCCGCCATGTTGATGCGGTGGCGGAGCACTCCAAGAAACTTTCACACTTTGGGAAGACAGAGGAACACACGACACTTGAGTCGGCGGAGTTTCTGGCACTGAAATAAACGATCATTATCGTTTCGTTTAACAATGAAATAATAACATTCGTTCTACAGTGGAATGTCTGGCGAAAGTTTATGTTTACCGTACCTCCTTCCTGAGTTGTTCCAACAATAGGAACGCTGGCTGGACCGCTAGCTATACTATTGAAAGCTCTGATCGATATATCGTACTTGGTGAACTTTCTCAGCCCGGTGAGTTGCACCTTTGTAGTCGCCCATCCGTGCACGGTTAAACTTTTGCTTTGGTTCACACCTGACGTTGAAGATGAATGCTCCGACCATGTCACTATGTAGCCCAATAGATCTCCGTTACAGGATTCTTTTGGGGGTGGCTGCGAACGCAATAAAACCTCTTTCAACGATGATCGATCAGGATTATTCCATATATTGACGAGTTATTTTCAATTTTAATCTATGACGAATTATTTTCAAAATTTTATTTTTGTCGTAATTTCTGAGATACTTCATTCCTTCTTTAATGGAATAATCATTGCAAGGGGTAGAAGTGAAATTTTTATTTACCTGCCAGCTAACCATAAGTTCTCCAGGCCCAGCTGACTGTACCTTAATATTTTGAGGTGGTTCTGTGGGTGCTGTTGCAAAGGGAATATTGAAATTGATAAAATACAATGATTGACATGTTTGTAAAATTTTACAAAAAAAATGGGGTGTGTCTTTGTACCTTCTTCTTGAGTTTTCGCGACGACAGCGTCAGTAGGCACACTCACGTCTATTGAATTTATCGCGAATATACGAAACGTGTAAGTCACTGCTGGATGAAGTCCTCCAACTAAAGCTACTTCTTGATCCTCACTGGTAGTCTCGAAAGGGGATAAACCTATAGACATTGTAAAATATCATAAACCTACAGTTCTGAAATTATGAAGTATAATCAATTACTCCATTTTACTTCAATATGATTATTAACTCTCCAAAGAAATTCCTTTAATAAATAAATAAAAAATTATGTAAGTTTAAAAAGAAATTAGTAATGAAATTACAGAGGGAAAGCGTGATCGTTATAGTGTAATTTGCGTACCATTTTGCGTCGGATGAATGGTGTTCCCGTTATTAGAAGAACTTCCGGGCATGTATGTGACGTTGTGCGTTTTCTCCGGATTCCAATCGTCCGGCAAACCGTGATTCAGAGACCGATACTGAATAACGTAATTCCGTATCGGGCTGTTTCCGTCGAAAGCTCTCTTCCATAGTAATCGTATCGATCGGGAGCCGATTTCTATGACTTCCAGCGAGGCTGGCGGATCCGGTCTCTCTGCGTTTACAAAATGAACATAATTAAACCATCATCCGTGATCACAGTCTAGATCAGCGCGTTCATTCTGAATGGAACAAGGTATCTGTTCTGTTCACCGAATGTTTTATATCAAAGGGATATTAAAAATATTAATAATACAGCCGACGATATATCGTGCGCTCTTTACAATTCAAATCTTGACGATTAAATAAGTGAGTGAATCCTTGTCGAGACAAGTATTAAACACGATTTCTGATTTAACATTTTCTAGCAAATGTTAAAACTTCATTGACTAGCAATAATTAACAATGTTAAAGGAGAAATCTTGTAGATGTTAAAGTTATTAACAATAATATGCATTACTGGACAAAAGTTTGGGATCACTTGTGATTTTGTAGCATTGTTATATCTGCAATAAATTTGCTGCGTTTTCAAAAAAAGATGTTTCTTAAAATTAAAACATTTCTGTGTGAAATTCTTGCTTAGACTGCAATGCACAATGGTCTCAAATTTTTCACTCACAGTGGACACATATCTTGCAAGAATTTTCAAACGAATTTTCCTTGAACGATAAAATTTAGAGAAATCTGAATTTACAAATATAAAGAGGAGCGTGTTACCTTGGACAGCGAGATAAATGAGATGTTCGCTCCTTCCATAGGCATTATCCGCCGTACACCTGTACACTCCTGAGTCCTGACGATCACTGCTCCCTATAGATAACTGTGACTTCAGTCCGTTGTCTGTTTTTATTTGGCTGATGCTCAGCCTGTGACTGTTCGTGTCTAAACGGTCGCTGTTGTGCATCCACTGCACCTCAATGGGATTATCTCCGATGACAGTGCAATCCAGCGTCACGGATTCACCACGGCGGATCGTCACGTTTTTGCTCTGGTACTCGAATCTCGCTGGCTCTGTGAAAAAATGATTTCGAATATTCCCGTGGAATCTTGATAAATTTCTGACGAGAATTTTGTTTTTGATACAGTAAACGTTTGATACTTTTATATTATTACGTCTGAAACGTTTGTGATTCTGTATAAACTCGTCATGGTAATTTTTTCTTACTTTTAACAGAAATAATTTTCATCTTCATTACGAGTGAGACACTCTGTATATTTAAAATCTTTAAAACCTATCCTTCTTCAATCCCATAATCCACCTAATTTACTGTCCAAAGTGATCCAGATTTGAACTGATTAAAAACCTCTGTCTCATTCCTTGCAATAATTAATCCTACCAATTCTACGTATCACCTGAAATCTTCTTAATCACTCAATTAGTTCAATTATAATCACACAAATTTACTATGGTAATACTTACCATGAACAGAAACGTAGATCACTTTGCTCAGCCCCGACCCAATGCCATTATTCGCTCTGCAAAGATAGTGCCCTTCGTCCTGAGGTCCAGCAGAGGCAGTCCACAGAGATCCATTGGGCAATATTGTCAGTCTGCCGTCAGAACCATCGACCAGAGGCTGATAATCATTGGACGTTCTTCCTCTGGCACGTAGCCAGGTGACGCGTGGCGGAGGAAATCCTTTGGCCTCGCAGTGAACGTTCAACGGGTTCCCCAAGAGTGTCGCCACGTCTTGAGGCTCGAAGATCCATTGCGGTGGCACTTTCACCAAAAGTTCAGCTGTGTGGTTCACTTTGGCAGCGCTATTGGTCGCCACGCAAGTGTATTTGCCGCTGTGCCTCGAGGATAGCTCCTTGAAGACGAGCAGACTGAAGAACTCAGCCACCCTCTCCTCTATCTGCAACGCGAACACAGTTCTTCCTTAATTTCATGGAGTATTGTGGTCTATTTAGTTATTTATTTAACTGGATGAACCCTCTAGTACGAAAGGCCAAAGATAATCACGGGAGATACAAGGTATATTAACTAGAAATAGAAAGAAAATACAGTAAGAGTGTTTAAGTAGTACAAGTCTAGTATTTGTCAGACATGGGTAGATTGATCGTGGTTAAGTTTTGTTTATTACAGAATTTCGTTGAACGTGTAGAAGTGTTATATTGTGGACATAAAATGATCCACAAAAATTAAAATTATATATAAATTCTTATATTGTGGATACAAAGTTGTAAACTGTTTTTATTCTCTATGTAGCGTTGTACTGATTTTTTTTCTGCAAATTTGTCAATTCCGTGGAGAATCAGGATGGAGAACGTACGCGTAAAGAGGAAGGCAACGGTTCGCCATCCTTCGACTACCTTCCTGAAGATTCGATGGAAAGTTGAAGGGGCTCATAACCGGTGGACCTGAAACGAGTAAAATTTATTTCAATCTTGATATTCCTCTTTGAGAAGTATAAAATTTCCCTCCCTTGTTTTATCGCATTTACTTGTGAAATACACTTTGGGGCAAGGAGAATGATTATCGTGGTCAGTAGTTATTAGTTTCCTTCGTTCACGTGTTCCTTAGATTCCACGCTTCTCTAAACTTGGCTACGTTCGTGACAAATGAGAAAAAGTTGAAAAGTAACGGTACGGGAATCCTTCCGGGTGTGCAATTTACTTCTTTCGCTTGGTCTGGTGACTTCTTCGCGGAGTCGAGCGAGGCGACCGTGAAGAAACAAGAGCAAAAACCCGTTTCTCGTTAAAACGAGTGTACGTACGTACATGTACACGCACACGGTGGGGTACTTACTGCCTTTGCTTTTACAGAGACATAACGTTACAGTGAAACGTAGGCAACCAACGTGAACGCGTATCTTTTATGTAATAAATGCAACCTCATAAATGGCAAAGTTTCATTCCTCGCTAATTCTTCAACTCGTAACACTTAGTCGAATGTCAACAAATCTCAAGGAAAAAGAAATTCTTACAGAATTTTTACCTCACCTGTAAATGTTACACTAACAAATTCTATAAATCTAATGTTCTCCAATTTTTAATAGACAGAATTATAGGAAATATAAATTTAGCTCGAAGCAAATTTTCTAAATTATTCAAGTATATTCTCTTCAATACTTCTATAGAAAAAATTTTTTTAAATTAGAAAAAATTAGACTGCGAAGTTTTGACTATAAAAACAAGATAGTAGAGTGATAGGACAAGGGATTATGTTGAAAAATAGGTAAACCTGGGATTCACTGAACAAACCACACTAAAAAAATAGCCATCTTTCTCCTTGCTTATCAAATGATCCACACAGTTCCCCAAAATTTGCTGCAAAGTCTTCAACGGCACTTTCGTTCCTTAAAATACTCACTGCTAACAGTGAGACGGATGTCCCTGCTCGCTGTTTCGCCAGGTCTGGCGTGAACCATGCAACTGTAAGTGCCAGCGTCATTTGGATCCACATTGGCGATGGTAAGATGGCCCTCCCCGTCAACGCGGTGCCTTATGTCGAGAGGTAGCGCGACTCCTCCGCGAGACCATCCGACCGACGTGATAGGATAACCGGAATAGGGACACGCTATGGTGGTATTGACACCGGCTATCGCTCGGACCGGTCCTATCGATCGAATATACGGCGGACCTGAAATTATTAATCGACGTGAAGTGCCTTCTGACACACTTCGCCCTGGCCACTAGTCCAATCCCCTTGATATAATTTATCACGATTAGCATAGTTTCAAGTGTATCATTGGAAATTCATTAGGATATTTGGAGGATGGATGAACGTAAGGATTTATTGTGGTATTTTTGGGTATCAACACTTTGCACTCCAATGGCAATTCCATTTAAACATGCACCTTTTATACATCAGTCTGAAGCTTGAGGTAAACAAAAATAACACGATTGGTGGTTCGTTGATTGTGTATGAAAGTGATCCTTGGATCAAGATCAAATTCAATACTTAATATTTTCTTATGAATTCTTTCAGTTGTATAGGTTTGAGGTTTTGAAGGAATTGGTTTGCGAGCTTTATTTAATTGGGAGTTCTAATACAGGAGGAATTTTGAGGTAACATTCACAGAGGATTACAGGGGATCCTCTGATGTAGTGAACTGAAGTTAGAATTATTGAACTGAACAACCTGCCTTATTTAAAGAACAACCTGCGCTACAATCTCTGTTTAATTCAAATTTATCAAGGTACATAGCTAATCCCAATATTCCATATCAGACGTCGCTTCAGTAATTGATAGAATCACCTCTGTTCAAAGTACTCCATCAATTCAAACTCAAAATACACCGGCTATTTAAAACCTACACTCCAGTAACTACCTTGAAATCCCTGTTATAATTCAATCTAAATTGTCGAGAAACCTCCAATTTCGAAACCGCGATATGGAAGGTTGAAAACTCTATCGATCAAAGCTCCGCAGACCAGCAAATTTCACGAACCGGTCGGTCCTCAATCACAGTTCGAATTACCGTAAATGTTCAATCTGGCTTTGTGCTCGACTGTGGCTAGAGTGTTGGAAGCGACACAGGCGTAGAGGCCACCATCTTCGGCTCCAGCCGACGATATGTTCAAATGACTGATCACGTCTCCGGACTGATCGACGTACTGTCCTATCGCGTACCTGCATCGGGCATTATTCTCGGTTAAGAAGCTGAATATTGATCGATGGGATCTAGATGCACACCTGTGTCCAGAGGCTATCTCGCTCAGAGGCTCTCCGTCCAACAGCCAAGTGAACGATGGCGGAGGTGATCCTGTCGCTGAACATCTCAGAGACACTGGAGGACCTGGACGCAGTGCTTGCTCGATGAACGTGTACTGCAGCTCGGGAACTGTGTCTGAGAAAATCGAGCGGGACGTTAAACGACAATTTTCTTCTGAAAAGTTTCAGTCAACATCGTTCGCCGTCTTGAGAAGAGGTATTTCGAGGGAAAATGTATAATATTATTCTCTGTAATCTTCTCTTAACAGTGACATAGCATTTATTAAAATCAGACGATTAGACAATTTTTTATATTTCTTGTAGATCTGATTGTATGGACAGAAATTAGGATTTTAGATTTTATTTATTTTCAGTTACTTTACTAATGAATTTGAGATGTTTATTCGTATTACAAAGCTTTACCAACAATTGCACGCTAAGTAACAACATAAAAAAGGAGTTAGCAATGAAATACCAAATTCACTGTCCAAGTAGTACGAGTGTTAACTTGATCAGCCAAAGAAAAGATAAATAGCCTCTCCTTCGTTAAGATACATCCCTCACACTTAAATGACACAATAGATAGTGTTATTTTCATGGAAATTCAAACATACACTCCCTTCTGTGTCAGAAAAATATATGTCTAGATGAAAAAACCAATTGTTTGACTACGAATGGAAGAACAAAAAGGACGACAAGGGTGCAAGAGGAGTCAGAAAAATATATGTCTACATGAAAAAACCAATTGTTTGACTACGAATGGAAGAACAAAAAGGACGACAAGGGTGCAAGAGGAGCGCAAGCAATTAATTCTGAGCAAAGGGGTAAACCGATTTCGATTAGCGATCCACAGAGGTGTATATACCTCCTAGCTTCAATTCCGCGGTGGCCTGTGCGTTCTCCTTGTCGCTTCTGACCAGGCACTGATACATCCCCTTGTCCTTTCGGCCGACCGAGCCTATCATGAGCACCAGAGGAGCCAGCAATCTGATCCTCGTGTCCTGCGCGGTCAATACGGGAACACCGTCGTGCAGCCACTCGACGCTCTCGACCGGATAACCCTCCACCGTGCAATTCATAGTGGCTGACTCTCCGGAATTGATGATCTGTAAATACCGGGGAAACGGTTAACGATTCGTACTCGAAAGTTAATGCCCGTGCCGCGATTTACGCAGCTCTACTACGGACGTCCCCTCTCCTTTTTTTGACGTGCTGGTGCAACGATCGTCGGATTCGCTACGGTGCTTGGCGAACCGTTGTAATGGAAACACGGTTGCAGTTGAAGCTTTTTTTTTAGAGAGAGAGAGAGAGAGAGAGAGAGAAATTTCGTCGATGTGTACATCTTTCTGCTGCCACACGCCGTTGCGCCCTGTGTGTGTTCCACGCGCGTTTCTCGTCTTTCGAGAGCCACTATGGGAGACGTAATGGGCCCGCACAGGGTTTTTATGGGGTAATTTTGATGCCTCTGTTTTTACCCTTTTTTATTCCTTTCGAATTGACGGGGAGAGAGGGAGAGAGGGGGAGAGAGGGAGAGACAGAGGAAAAGGAGG